AGGTTTGGGGGAGGGGGGAAAGGGTTTTGTGTGCGAGGGGCTTGGACTTCCAGCAGGCATGCGTGAGCGTGTTTGATAGGAGTGAATGGAGACAAATGGTTTTTAATACTTGACGTGCTGTTGGAGTGTGAGCAAAGTAACATTTATGAAGGGGTTCAGGGAAACCGGCAGGCCGGACTTGAGTCCTGGAGATGGGAAGTACAGTGCCTGCACTCTGAAGGAGGGGTGTTAATGTTGCAGTTTAAAAACTGTAGTGTAAAGCACCCTTCTGGCAAGACAGTGATGGAGTGAATGATGGTGAAAGTTTTTCTTTTTCGGGCCACCCTGCCTTGGTGGGAATCGACCAGTGTGATAATAAAAAATGATATGGTTGAGCTTCTGTAAAAACTGGACAGTGGTGTGTCTGTGAGAAGCTTGTGTAAATTATACAGCACTGGCTCTTCAACAGGTTATGACATAAAGAAATGGAGGGAAAAATTACTTAGTTTCTTTGTTAACAGTGATTCAAAGAAACAGATGTGGAAAAGGAAACAACAAAGGAAGGAAAAAGTTCAGAACTAGATCAAGTTTTGATGAAGTGGTTTAGACTACCTTTAAGTGAAGGTGTTGAGCTGTCTGAAACAATATGGAGTTGAAGTAACTTTAACTCCATATTGTTTCAGACTATGGAACAATACTCTTCTCCAGACTGAGGGACTGACCACCTCAAAACTTTAAGGGTGATGGACTGATTACATCGTCTTCAAGTCTCTTCTGCTTCTATCAACTTTTCTGTACTCGACTGAAGAAGCCTACTGTGTAGGCGAAACGTTTCGAAATATAGATACCTAACTGTTGCATGTGTCTTACCTAACAAGAACTAGAACCAGATTATGAGTGTGATTATAGTGAAGGTTGACATGTCTTAAAGTTTTGTGCAGTGTGGTGAAGAATGTTCAGCTGACAAGGAAGCAGCTACTGAATTTGTTGACGAGCTCACTAGGTTAGTTTCAGATGTAAAATTAAGTCCTGAGCAGGTCGACAATGCAGATGCAAGTCAAGTTGATGAACTCTATTAACCGACTTGTACTGATTTTAAAGATAGGATGAGGTGGTTAACTGTTGGGTCAAGTGTATTCTAACCTAACCACTCTGTGATCTGGCAGAATCACTAATCCAGCACCCTACAGGTTCTGATGGTGCCAGATTAGTGATGGTCTACATGTACCCTATAAAAAACAGTGAAACTTGAGAGAGCATAAAGAGCATCAAAGATAATAAGCGACAAAAAAAATATATAAGAATTAGGTCTTATCTTATTATATTAGTGAAGAACATGGATAATATGATCACAGTATGTAACACATTAAGGGATATATAGTACATCATAGAGAAGAACAAGAATGATAATAAGAACAAGAGGACATGGTTGAAATTGCACACCCAAATAAACATTACTGATTTTAAGTGTTTTCTTCACTGTAAAGAGTAGCAAGTAAGTGGGGTGAGCTGAATCGTACAAGAGTTCAAAAATAGATATGGTAAATGTTTAGTCATATCAGTGGGTTGAAAATTACAAGACAGGACCAAGCCAAGACCTTGGCTTACCTCCGACAAATTCAAATAGGTAGTTAAAGATGTAATTACAAATGTAGGTAATTACAGATGGTGAACATATTTATCTGCTGGGTTGCTCTGCCTTTCTTCTCCAACTGACTTGTTTTCATTTTTTCATTTTATTTGTGAGGAAGTACTAAACCTATAGGGGTTATGGCATTCAGTTTGTTTCAGGGAAGGCGAGGTAAACTCCAGTTGTTCGGATGAAGAGTTCACTGGTATCAAGGGGGTGAGAGAGTAGGTCACCTTACTGGGATGAATGGTTTGTACCTGAGGTGAGATGTGTCTTCCCCCTCAGGGTGCCACTCCCCCTCAGGGTGCCACTCTCCACAGCCGCAGTTTCCTTGCTTTACTAACAACCCACCATATGTTTGGGCATAAATACTGGCAGCATTTCCTCCCTATTGCTTCTAAATTTGATGACACTGCCAGTGACTTGGAACAAACTTTGGATTTAGATTGTGAAGTGTGAAAAATAAATTTGGAATATGTTTTTTTCTTTGTGCTTTAGAATTTTGTTTTATGAAAGTGAATTGGTCATGAGAGTAGCAAGTTGATAATGAAAGTGTAGATTTGGTAATTTAATAAATGGAATAAATTTAAAGTGCTGAATAACCAAGTATGCAGTTCTAGTACTTTATAAATCAAATAAAAAAATACCTTAGTAATAAAGAAAATATTAATAATTTATAAAGTGTCCCATTCACCTTGATGCCAGTGAAGGGATTTTGGTCCAAGGAAATGGAGGTAGTCTCTTGGACAGAATGTGATTGGCTGCTCTTCTCCAGGCATTGTATGGTCCCTGTGGGTTTAGCACTCCTCTGTAAATGTAATACTGGTATTAATTACTTTCATACCTGACTAGTATTTGTCACACTGTGAAGAAAACCTTAATGCAGCCTCGCTACAATTAGTGATGTACAGTGGACCCCCGCATAACGATATTAATCCGTTCCTGAGAGCTCATTGTTATGCGAAATTATCGTTGTGCGAATGAATTTTCCCCATAAGAAATAATGGAAATCAAATTAATCTGTGCAAGACACCCAAAATTATGAAAAAAAAATTTTTACCACATGAAATATACATTTTCCTACACACAAAGAGAAGGATACATGCACAATAGTAGAGTAGTACATGCACAATATATATTGTGCATGTACTACTCTACTAAATGAAGAATAAGTGACACTTACCTTTATTGAAGATGCAGCAATGACCGATGAGACACTGTGTCCTGGGAGTGCCTTTTCCTCCTGAGTACTGTAGGTCCTGTTTGGCATTTTCTTCCAGAACAGGCCTTATCACACTGTGTATGCCACTATGATTCTTAAATCTCTCAAACCAACCTTTGCTGGCTTTAAATTCACAAGATTAAGGACCCCAATGGAAATAAGTTAGACAGTCTTCGATGACACTGACTTTTTTGGGTTATCCTGGGTAGCTAACCCTCTGGGGTTAATTGTTTCTTGGTATTCTCAATAAGCCACACCAACAATGGTGCTACAGCAGCAGCAGCAGCAGCTGACAGTGCTACAGCAGCAGCAGCAGACGGTACTACAGCAGCAGCAGACGGTACTACAGCAGCAGCAGCAGCTGACAGTGCTACAGCAGCAGCAGACGGTACTACAGCAGCAGCAGCAGCTGACGGTGGTACAACAGCAGCAGCAGCAGCTGGGGTACTACAGCAGCAGCAGCAGCTGATGGTGGTACAGCAGCAGCAGCAGCAGCAGCTGACGGTGCTACAGCAGCAGCAGCAGCAGCTGACGGTGCTACAGCAGCAGCAGCAGCTGATGGTGCTACAGCAGCAGCAGCAGCAGCAGCTGATGGTGCTACAGCAGCAGCAGCAGCTGACAGTGCTACAACAACAGCAGCAGCAGCAGCAGCAGCAGCAGCAGCAACAGCAGCTGACAGTGCTACAGCAGCAGCAGCAGCAGCAGACAGTGCTACAGCAGCAGCAGCAGCTGACAGTGCTACAGCAGCAGCAGCAGCAGCAGCAGCTGGCAGTGCTACAGCAGCAGCTGACAGTGCTACAGCAGCAGCAGACGGTGCTACAGCAGCAGCAGACGGTACTACAGCAGCAGCAGCAGACGGTACTACAGCAGCAGCAGCAGACGGTACTACAGCAGCAGCAGCAGCTGATGGTGATACAGCAGCAGCAGCAGCAGCAGCTGACGGTGCTACAGCAGCAGCAGCATCAGCAGTTGACCATGGTACCACAGTATTTCGATAATATTTCTCACCCTTTTTACCACAGGGTTGGCACTAGAAGCTTTCTTGGGGCCCATGGTCACTTATTTTGCAGATAAAATCACCAAAAACGCTGTAATAATACGAAATACTCCGATTGTATGCTTGGATGTTACCGCGGAGGCTGGCTTGTAAACAATGCCACCGGCGGAACATTTGAGGCTGGCTCAGGCCGCACATTAGACGCGTCTAGGACGAATAGCGTTGAGCGGGTTTTTTAGCGGTATGCGAGGCAAAATCTTAGCGATAAAATGTATCGGTATGCGGATTTAACGTTATGTGATGCCAACAGTATGCGGGGGTCCACTGTACTCGTTTACCGATGCCCTCGGACTTACGACGAGCTCACTGACCAGTGTTATACTTAAATAATGTGTATATATGAGCTGATTTCGTCTATTCTGTTTATATCAATATACAGTACGTATGCTACTGTATAAACATTTAAAAATATACCAGAAATGTTATAAATGGTGCAAAGGTGGCATTAACCCTTAAACTGTCCAAACGTAGATCTTCGTTTTTTCAACATTTTAAAGTATGTAAAAAAACGTAGAGCTTCTTTTTCTTTTTTTACATTTGAGAACATGTAAAAAAAAATTTGATAAACATTTTTTTTTGTTATATTTGAAAATATGTTAAAAAACGTAGATCTACTTTTGGAGCACCACGCATGTGAACGTAGATCTGTCTGGACAGTTTAAGGGTTAAAACAGTATCAAAGATGGTTGACACAGACCCACTACCATTATAGTATGCTCCTCACTTAGCTATGAATTTGTTTAATGATATGATCTTAGGAACGGAACTCCGTCATTAAATGAGGAGAGGCTGTATTATTTTTCACCCGAGTTTACAACTTTAGCAAATATTTCACAGTTGATGGTTCTAAGAAATCTTTATTTGCAGACTGTTTCATATATGACTGTGACGATAACATTTTTGTGTGTACTTGTGAACTGCAGGTTCCTTGTATATAGACACAAGAACTTTTAGTCATCTATAGCTAAAATAATTTTTTGCTTTATACAGAAATTTTCAAGATGTTCTTCTGTGTTTTGATTGTTGTAATATATGAATTAGTGTGTGTTTTATATGATCCTCTTCTATGTGGGTGATTTATTTACATATTACACATTGTTGTTCCTCCTCAGCTGTACTGGCGTGTTCGTGGAGACTGGGAACTCGGCCACCATGCACTTAATTGTTTAGTACAACTAGCCTCTCTTAACGGAGCTGTTCTCATCAATAGACAAGTGCGAATAAAGTACCTTACACAATATTTACAATGTCTTTTCTCCCTTCTCTCAAGGTAAATATTTGACTTTCTGTTGTTTTCTCTTGATTAGCAGACTAACTAAACAAGTGAAATAGTTTGCATCTTGATTAAGGAAGGTTGGGCAGGGTAGATTACCTGTGGAAAACTGCAATGACAGTGACACATCATGAGTTGCCAGTATTATATTTTCTGGCATATAAGGTACATGAACATGAGAGACATAGATGATGTTTCCAAGCCGTTGTGATGTAATATTAGTAAACAACTGCTAAAGTGTAACCCAAGGCCTACTCTTGATCCTGACCTTAAACCTACAAAATGCAAGCTGATTTTCCATATGCCAGAAAATACGTACGGCAAACGTTGTTGTATCTCCTGACTTTTTAATAAAGCACACTCAACACAGAATAGTAGTAAATCCCTTATTTAATGTTCCTTGATTTAATGTACCTTGCTTTAACAGACTTTGCAAATAACAGACATAATCCTCTGGGTAAATTGTGCATTTAACTACTTTTTTTCAATGTTCTTTATACTAATTGTAAACTGTGTGTACATTATTATGTGTGCAGTTGAGTACTGTATATTTTTTCTGGTTTGGCCCCTAAATTGTGGCATAACCCCAAATAAAATTAATATGTACATGGGAAGAGTTATTATTATTATATTAGCAGTTTGGAGGGATATGTTGTGTCTCTTTATATGTATATGCTTCTAAACTGTGTGATTTTGTGTGAGTGAGGTGAAAGTGTTGAATGATGATGAAAGTATTTTCTTTTGGGGAATTTTCTTTATTTTTGGGTCACCCTGCCTCGGTGGGAGACGGCCGACTTGTTAAAAAAAAAAATGGGAAGAGTTAAAAGAAAATCTTACAGAATGAAAGAGTGTATGTTTCTGAATAAGAATAAAATGAGTGGATTATGATAAAAATGTAGGGTTTTATGCTGTGTTGAAGTTGATGAAAAAATTATCACTCAATGATAACAGCGGCATTAATGTGCCAGTGATATTTATGTTTTACAATTTATTGGTGCCAGGATATGATTTTTTTTCTGTCTTTTAACCCTTTGACTGTTTCAGGCCCCTCTCTGAAACTGTCATTCCATGTCGCCAAATATTCAAAAAAAAAAAATTATTTTTTCTTATGAAAATGTTAAGATTATTTTTCTGAGTGTTTTAGTCCAAAAAAAAAAAAATTTGCCATCGGTACTTACCGAGATATAGAGCCGTGAAGTTTGCAGAAAATGAGCCGCGTATGGCAACAGCGGCGACTGCCGCTCACCCGGTAAACTTTAGTTTACTTGTAATTGAAGGTTTTTTGTTTTTTTCACTATTTTATTTTTTCACATAACTTATGTGGCCTGTGAGACCAAAGTAAGGTGCAATGTACATATATACACTCGTTGTATACAACACAATAAGCACACAAACATAATTATCAATATATTGTTTACAAAACTTGTTTACAAAAACAAACAAACAATCATCCTCCTCCTCCTCCTCCTCCTTCTCATCCTCCTTCTCCTCCTCCTCCTTCTCCTCCTCCTCCTCCTCCTCCTCCTCCTCCTTCTCCTCCTCCTCCTCCTCCTCCCCTCCTCCTCCTTCTCCTCCACTCCTCCTCCTCCACCTCCTCCTCCTCTCTCCTTCTTCCTCCTCCTCCTTCTCCTCCTCCTCCTTCTCCTCCTCCTCCTTCTCCTCCTCCTCCTCCTCCTCCTCCTTCTCCTCCTCCTTCTCCTCCTCCTTCTTCTCCTCCTCCTTCTCCTTCTCCTTCTCCTCCTCCTCCTTCTCCTCTCCTTCTCCTTCTCCTCCTCCTCCTCCTCCTCCTCCTCCTCCTCCTCCTCCTCCCTCCTCCTCCTCCTCCTCCTCTCCTCCTCCTTCTCCTTCTCCTTCTCCTTCCCTCCTTCTCCTTCTCCTTCTCCTCCTCCTCCTCCTCTCCTCCTCCTCCTCTCCTCCTCCTTCCTCCTTCTCCTTCTCCTCCTCCTTGTCTTGTGTGCGAGTGTGTGGCTTATAATTGTTTTGAGTCAGAAGTCGGCAGCTGTCAAAGTGACATATTGTCTCATAGTCACTACCCCTACCGCCTGTCAAAACAATGGGTCGGATGCTGCTTCCCCCCTCCATTCTATCTAATTATCTTTCTCCCTCATTCTATATCTTTCAATCTGTCTCTCTTTCTATCTGTCTGCCTATCTCTGTCTCACAGGTACACATAAATACAAGTATACATAGTGTAATTACCTAGGATAACCCAAGAAATCCAGACAAAGTGCTATACTCTGCTTGAAGATGTGAGTAAACGTGATGACACAGTCTTGTGCTCTCTCTGAGACAGAGAGCTAGATGGACAGACAGGGAGCTTGACAGACAGACAAATAGACAGACAGAAATGTTTGTGTACCAGCAAAAACAAAGGGAGGGCGATGGTCATGTAATATTACCCTCCTTTACGCTCATCAAAGTCAGCTCTTATCAGATGTTATCTCCCCTTATCTTGTCACTGTCATGGGGTGGACTTTTTTTTTTTCTTGCTTCAAGGGAACAATATATTACATCTTCTTCTTCCCTCCTCCTCCTCCCTCCACTCTCCTCCTCCTCCTCCTCATCCTCCTCCTCCTCCTCCTCCTCTTCCTTCCCTCCTCCTCCTCCTCCTCCTCCTCCTCCTCCTCCTCCTCCTCCTCTTCCTCCCCTCCTCCTCCTCCATTGCTTTTGGTCTCAAACTCCTCCAAATCATGAAATTGATCTTCACTGACACTTCCATCTGTGTTAGAGCATCACTTGGGAAAAGAAGAGTCCCAGATTTGCTGGGGAATCACATATTTCTTACCGCTAGACATGCTGAAAAAGGACAACTGAAATGGCATTCCCACAATGCACCACTGGCTCCCCGATTTTTTTTATATGGTGCACACTGACCATGGAGACCCATTCTCTCACATGTGGGCCTACCAGCTTTCTCCTGCTTGATTTGAAGCTGCTAGAATTTATGCGTATAAATACGTCAGAAACATTGGCTCGTAAGACGTATTTATACGTCGGAAACAGTCAAAGGGTTAATTGTTTTAATGTTTAACACTACACGCACTAGTTTATGATACTAGATGGGTTAACCCTTCCAGTGGCCATCACATAGAACTGCATCATTGAGGCCAGGGTCTCTCATGTAGTTCTATGTCATGAGCTCAGCTCACTCACAGTAGATAAGCTGTGGCCAATAAATTTTGGCTTAGATATGAGAGAATGGGTCTGAGGTAAGTGTACAGTATAAAAAAAAACAGTGTCCCATGCAGTGCATGATGGGAAAAGCAAAACTCTCATTGTGTGTGTGGTTTAACCCTTTCAGGGTCGGCAAGCCCTCTCCTAAACTTGTTCTCAGGGTTGGAAATTTTTCGAAAAAAAAAAATGTTTTTTCTTATAAAATGATAGAGAATCTTTTCCCGATCATACTGATACCAAAAGTATGAAATTTGATGGAAAACTTAGGGAATTATGTTCTTGCGAAGTTAGCGGTCTCGACAATGTTTATGCATCGGCGATTTTGCCCACTTTGAGCCCTATTTTCAGCCAATTCCAATGTACCAGTCAACAAAAATCATACCTATTTTGCTAGAACTCCATTTTTTCTATTGAATGAGTACAAGAAACCACCCATTTACTGATTTCAACTATCCAATGAAGTGGTCAGAAATTGGCAATTTTGCCAGTTTCACACAAATTTTAAAAGATGCCAATTTCCAAATAGGGTCCAGAATAAACAAGACAGACATTCCTGGCACTAAAATAACATTTCCTCTGTTCATTACTCACATCCCCAGGCCTGTTACATTTCTTTTGCTTTCAACTTTGAATTTTTATTCTCACAAAAAATAGAAGATTTATATTATGCAGACTACTGCATTAGTGTAGAAATGGTATAAATAATATCAGCGTACTTGTGAATGAATATTAGACTCAACAGTTGACGTGTATTGGACGCATGACATAATTTGTTTACCTTTGAACTTTGGTAAAAATCAAACATTTCTGCTACTTTGAGCTCAGATTCAAGGTACTTTTCATTGTGAAACCAACCAATCTCCGTAATATGTCTTACATTCTATAAAATGAGACCAGGAAAACTAGAATACAACTATAAATAGCATACAAAAATACACTGCAAAGTCGCTGTTTTAAACCAAAAACATGGTCAGATTTTTTTTTTCATTATGCACTGTGTGCTGCAGGATTTTTTTTTATACTGTGCACACTGACCACATAGACCCATTCTTTCATATGTAGGCCTACCAGCTTTCTCTCGCTAGATTTGAAGGTGCTAGAATTTAATTGTACTAGTATTGCACCAACCCTGGCGTGCAAGCCGTACTAGTACGGCACCAACCCTGAAAGGGTTAAAATAATGACTTTGAGGTATCTTCTCAGATGATTTTTATGTTTTTATTGGTTGTTTCTGGGTATCATTTGATAGAGTGGAGGACATACTACTAAAAATAGAGATGATTTTCATTGGTTTCAGGACTGGAAATACCTTGATAATGAGCTCAAAGTAGTGGAAGTAATTGATTTTTGCCATTTTTCCTGAGGACTGACAAGGGCCCCTGCACCCTCTGGTCTGTTTTATAGATTTTTAATAGGTCAGATCTAATTTTTTGGATGCTGTAAACCAACTTTTATTGTTTATATTTTATTATCCAAGAAATAGAGTAAATTTTCTATTTGTATGTGATGAGGATTTCAAAATGGAAGGCAAGTGTAATAAAGGAAAGACCTGACGACATGACTAATGAACAGAGTCAAAGTTGTTTTAGTGCCAGTAATGTCTACAATATTTGTTTTCGACTATTTTTAAATTGGTGTTTTTTTAATTTTATGGTAAACTGGCCAGATTACAGACTTCTGTGCGCTTTATAGAGTGGTTGAAATAATTAAATGGGTAATTTCTTGTGCTCATTTGATAGAACAAAAGGCATACTAGTGAAATTGCTAAGAATTAGGATCTAAAATTGCTGGTACGTAAATTGCACTAAGACTGCTGCCTTTGT